AGTGTTGGGCCAGTAGCCAAAAGGTCGCTGGTTCAAATCCCCGAGCCGACTAGGTGAAAAATCTGTCTATATTCCCTTGAGCAAGGAACATAACCCTGGTTGCTCTGGATAAGAGTGTCTGCTAAATTACTAAAAAGTATGAATGAATGCTTGCCTGATTATTATTTTTTGTGTGTAAGAGTGTACCAGCAAGTGTGTGTGGGTTGAGTCTGCATACTTGTCCATAGGATTGTGACAATGTTGATCCACATTTTTGGTGCAGAGTCCACATTTCTGCCTCCCCTACATAATGATACGATATAGCCAGTGTTACTAGTGTGATATGTTACCTTGACATTGAGCAATAAGAAAGCTCATCCGGTGAGTGAGTGGGTTCAAATTTCAAATTTTATTGTCACATGCACAGGACACAGCAGGTGTAAAGCAGCACAGTGAAATGCTTTACTTCCCAACAAAGCAGAATGAAGGTAATGATAAAGATATGCAGCAGAAATACCACAGAAGAAAATAACTCAAAACACTAGAATAGAGGTCAGTACCAGTACCAGTACCAGTACCATGATCACAATGTGCAGCAGTACTGGATTGGTTGAGGTGTTGGTATGTACAAGCAAAGTCGGGTCGGAGCTCGCAAGACAGCAACCATACAGTATGGCACCATCTTGTTGGTAGTTCTGCTGGATGTACTGTAGCAACCGCCATCTTCCTACACCTTCCTTCCTGCAGTGAAGGAAGTGCAGTGCAGTGTTCCTCCTTACATGGTCAGGGGTTGATCTGTGATCTTCCTGCAGGTCAGGGGTTGATCTCTGATCTTCCTGTAGGTCAGGGGTTGGTCTCTGATCTTCCTGCAGGTCAGGGGTTGGTCTCTGATCTTCCTCTAGGTCAGGGGTTGATCTCTGATCTTCCTGTAGGTCATGGGTTGATCTCTGATCTTCCTGTAGGTCAGGGGTTGGTCTCTGATCTTCCTCCAGGTCAGGGGTTGGTCTCTGATCTTCCTCTAGGTCAGGGGTTGGTCTCTGATCTTCCTCTAGGTCAGGGGTTGGTCTCTGATCTTCCTCTAGGTCAGGGGTTGATCTCTGTCTGATATCTTTGAGGATGAAGAAGATGCAGAGAGCATAATCCTCCACACACCACATGACCAATGATACATTGTGTGTGTGTGTGAAAAAGAGAGAGAGTGATTGAGTGTGTCTGGCTAGCCCCCATGAATAATCGCACACCTCTCATTATATCACCTCTCATTATCCCACCTCTCATTATCACACCTCTCATTATCACACCTCTCATTATATCACCTCTCATTATCCCACCTCTCATTATCCCACCTCTCATTATCCCACCTCTCATTATCACACCTCTCTCTTATATCACCTCTCATTATCACACCTCTCATTATCCCATCTCTCATTATCCCACCTCTCATTATCATACCTCTCATTATCACACCTCTCATTACCTGCCATTATCACACCTCTCTCTTATATCACCTCTCATTATCACACCTCTCATTATCCCACCTCTCATTATCACACCTCTCATTATATCACATCTCATTATCACACCTCTCATTATCACACCTCTCATTATCACACCTCTCATTATCACACCTCTCATTATCACACCTCTCAGTATCACACCTCTCATTATCTCCCCTGTCATTATCTCCCCTGTCATTATCACACCTCTCATTATATCACAACTCTCATTATCCCACCTCTCATTATCCCACCTCTCATTATATCACCTCTCATTATCCCACCTCTCATTATCACACCTCTCATTATCGCACCTCTCATTATTCATACCTCCCATTATCACACCTCTCCACCTGGTTCCTTTCTCATTATCACACCTCTCCACCTGGTTACTCTCTCATTATCACTGTGGAACAGTAGGACATGCTCTCCACCTCACCTCGCTCCCCTTGCTACCTGCCTGTTTGTCTGTTTGTCTC